TCAAAGCTTTTTTGTATTCAGCGGTGACTAGGCATTTTATGGCATTATTTGTAAAGGACCATGAAATCTAGCTTTTCTGCTGACAAACCATCTGCGAAGAGTAAGTGTGCAGTAAGTAACCTTTTGACCGCTCAAAAGGAGGGTTAAAACTATGGAATTTGTTGACTGTAATGTTAGAAAGAAGTTTTGAACTGCCGGGTTTGCTATAGAATCTATACATGCCATGATGTATGAGGCTAGGCAATGTCCAGTGAAATTTCAAAAGCTAAATTTGGTTAAAGAAGGTTTATGCTCCATTAAAGTCCGTATAATTTGCTATTGGGCAATTCTGTACTGTCAGTAATGTATAACATGTAATCAGTATGGACCACTGCATGCATGTGTTATTGGTAGACTTGTTGATAGTTTTTTGCCTGGTTCAATTTGTTACGAGGTGGCAGCCTCTGCTATATGGCAGCCTAGTAAGGCTTGCATAGGTAAATAATGAGTGGCTTACCTATTCTGTCTATGCCAAATAGTTGTTGGCTACTGACGTACATGGGAGCTTCCTATCTTTTAATGCTGAAGAACACTTAAACGTACGCGCGCAATCCTCGTGGCAACATTTGCATAAGCGATCCCAACGAACATTCGTATTGAGTAAGGTTCCTGATACATCCTGTGCATTCCACTGTATTCAGGCGTAGTAAAGTGTGAAACAACATTATGGGACTAACAGGGTTTACATAGAAATCGCCAACAGCTCACCAACACTAAGTCACCGCAGTAGACGTATAGAATGAGCGGCTGTCGCTCCGCGGCACTATGTTATTGAAAGCGGCCCAAGTGCCTGTGGTCCCTATGTGCTGGCCCTGGGTAGCTGCCTTGAACGTACCCTGGCAGGGTTCTCCCGCAGGATGAAATTCAAACGGGGGAAGGGGAGGGGAAAGGGAGGGAGGGGAAGGGGGGTGAAAACTAGCCGGGGGATCCGTCGGGGGGTGTGTTTTTTTTTCACGCAGTACCACGTAATTATATGCGTAAAATGCGCCAACACACGCAATCAGACACAGGTTATTTGGGGTTCTTGTATATATAAGATAGGCCGAGTCGTTGTGTACAGTTAGATGTTGTGTGTGGGACAAGGTTAGGCTGTATTGTAAGCTTGTTGTATTGTGACTGGGCAGTGCATTGGGCGTGGCAGCGGTAAAAAATATAACGCAGTCTGGTTGTCGACTGGCCCGAAATGTGAATTCTTGAGCGAGTCAAATTCGCCTGTGAGCTGGCAAACTTTTTTATTGTGGTGGAATTTAATCGGGGCGGAGGTAAATTTAAACCGGGCGGGAAAATTGAAACAGGGGGGAGTTTTTCGCCAAACGGGGCGGCCGCAAGCCCCGTTTGCGGCAAACGTAGGGAGAACGCGGCATGCCCAGGGTACGGTCGCGGTATACGCGAACGTACCTGGTACTATTCTAAATATGCCGGACCGTATCTCGCCTAACTCGCACTAACGAGTCGCCTACGCTAACTCCCTAACTAAGGCTCAGACCCATAGTGTTGGCCCGGGTGGCCGCGGGGGCACCAATATAATTTCCAAAAGTTAATAAATTTGGTGGGCGGCCGACCGGGCCACATAAAATTTCGCGTAAAGTGTCTATGTGATAAAAATAATTGTTTCTTACGTGGGCTAATCTCATTCAAAAGTAGAGCGAGCAATTCGCGAGCGAGGGCACACGTACGCACTTGCAGCCATTCTACCGCGGGCATACACGGCGGGCGCACGGTTTTCTTCTACTGCGCGGCTGCAACAAGCCACGTTATTGTGTTAGACTGGTATCCGGCCTCTAGCGCTCTGCTAGACAATGTACACCTCTGCGACGAACAGATTCGGCCGAGAAGCAGCATCTAGCGGCAGAGGTCAAAATCTGAAGCGGCGCATATTAGTCAAGCAGCGCAGACATACATGTGAATTACCATTGTATCAAGGACGAACGCAAAGACAATGCGTGCTAGAACAATACGCCTGTCTGCAAGTGTAACTGTGGAGAGCGTATGTAAAATGAACGCGAGCGATGAGAGTTTCGAAGGGGCAAAAGCTAATTGTCATAATAAAAAAATGATGAAATTTCATTCGCTTTTTTGATGTATTATTGTTATCAAAATGATTAAATACGGAACCACATGCGTGCCCGGGAATGTCGTGTAGCGGGACGCGGACACATGGGCAAAATACGGGACGTCCTGGTCACGCTGATTGGCTATCTAGTCTGCACATGGTGGCTCATTGTTTTTGCGGAATCCGAAAGCGAACTGGCGCAGCAGGTTCGAAGTTCGCGCTGGTAAGAAATAACATGAACTATTCATGAAGATGAATCAGTATTTTTAATACCCGAAGTGTAATATAGTGCTTTGTAAGTTTATTTATACATTCTCTCTGTCTCTTTACGCAACAAAAATATTGAACTTAGTCTTAGAACAGGGCTGCTTTTTTCTTTTTAATGCATGCGGTACCCAGGCTACTTTGTTTGATATAATTATGGTTCTAAAGCTTTATCTTAATTAAAATCTGACAATTATTTTATTTATAACAGTTTCAACAAAGCCTGCCAGACATTTAACTTTCATGAGATTAAATGTAATATGTTTTATTTTAACATGAAAAGCCAATTGTGTTGTTGTTTTATTAACAGGTTACTTATGTTTAATTATTTGCCATGCTCTGTGACTTTGATCTTCTTGAACAGGTCTGATACATGATCGATAGCATGTGGCACGCCAGCAGTGTTAGATAAATTAATGAAAGTGAAAGTAGAAAATGTAATGCAACGATTCTGGTGAAAAATTTGATGCCGTGAAATGGATAAATTCAATGTATGGCCCAATCATCATAAATGTCCAGTGTGTGCAATTGTGTGAGGGTTTATAGTTTAAAAGCTTCTGCAAGTGCATCAGACAGGCGCCAAATTTCAAATAATATACAATACGAAGATTTGAAATAAAGATTATATGTTTTTTCTTTGTTGTATTTTTTCCAGGCCACCAAAAATTGAAATCAATGATTTTGTGCCCCGATCGGGCCACTGAAAAAAAAAAAGTTAGTATTTCGAGCGCCTTGCCCTATACCCTTAACCATATCAGATAAGTTAGCCAGGGTACTTTCCCGTATACGCGGACCGTAGGCGGCGTACCCAGCCTACATTCCGGGCAGCTACCAGGAGACGTATCAGCGTCTTCTATCAGGGACCCTATCAGCGTCAGCTACCAGCTATATCAGCCTATCAGGGACGCGGAGTATCACTATCAGCGTGAATGAGTGATGGAAATGTGTGAGTCTCTGAGTGTGTAGACCATGCCAACCATTACGAATTTGGGGCGTAATTATTACGGATTTTGGTGTAATTAATTGGCGCCAATTAAGCGCCTAATAAGTCATCCATTATTACGACTTAGTAAATTTCAATAAATTTATTTAAATTTTCCTGTAAATAAATTTCAGTGATGTAGACACATTGATGGACGAGAGGTTTTTTAGCTGTAAGTGCGTGTATGTGTTTAACAGGAAGGCTGAGATCTTTTGAATGTTTTTGTGACAGTTATTCTAGTCAGTGTCATCTTGTTCAGCAGAGAACTGTGAATCTTTGTGAAAGAGTTTGTAGTACACTACATTAGCAGTTGTATAGTCATTTATTTACTTTCAGCCAAACTTTTTCATTTATTTGCTTACAGCAGATCAGAGAACTGACACATTTATTGTGAAAGTGTTTGTAAGTAGCATGTATAAGTCATTTTTTTAGTTTAGCAGAGATCTGAGTAATTATTTTGTGTCACTAATGGTAATTGCACTATTGAGTCAAATAGAAAGATAACATAATCAGGGTATCGTGATCCATGAATGTTCCCTATGATTGTGGGTGTATGCAAAGTTTACTAGTAATAAAATTTAGTTCTCGTTTAGATAAATCTCTAATAATTCTTGATTTTCCCCACTATTTTCAGGCAGAAAAACATCATTTTTGCCCTAATTTTAATCAATGCTGAAGTGCCACAGATGCTCAGAATGCACCACAGAGCATCTAAGTTTCAAAATTTTCTTGGGGGAGGACCCCTAAACCCCCCCTCAATGGGAGGGGGACACCTGCGGCGTTTGTCAAAACCAGGAATTTAGAAATCATTACTCTTTGGCTTCATTGAATGTTGGCATGTCTGGTGTGTGTGTGTGTGTGTGTGTGCGTGCGTGCGTGCGTGTGTGAATCTGATGTAGCGCGTGAGCGTGTTGGGGGGCTTGATAATTGGGATATGGAGGGGGGGATTAGAATATCTTAGGATATTAATCATATTCTTAGTCTACGGGCCCGGCAGAGCGTGGGACGCTGTTATGTTGTTAAGATAAGTAACATTACCGCGTCTAATCTAACTGCATACACGGGTAACACGCGTCCACCCTTCAATCAGATACACTATCCAATCCATGCAATATCCTTCCTTCCACCCCTCATGTCCCCCTCTCTATTTTACTCTCCCTTCAATGATCTCTTTGTAACCATGCCCCACTGTGCCACAGGCACTTGCGACTGCCTGGTCCGGGTTCGATAAATAGCAACCCCGTTCTGCACCTACCGTAGTGTGTATAAGAGTGTATATATAACTCTCATATATATACGAATATATATATACCATACATAGTATTTTCCTACCAATCCATATCATTTTTCATACCATACATACATATCGAACCCCGACCAGCCAGTCGCAAGTGCCTGTGCACTGCGCATAGTCTCTCTATATAGTTACCAACCTCTATCGAACCCTATGATTTCTCATCCTGTACATGATGAAATATAAGCATGTTAGCAACAACGATATTCAACCTTTGTACTCCTGCTAATTTACATACTGCTGACACATGCATATACTACGGTAGATTCGCGTCGCTACATGGTAGTGTAAACTTGCGCGACCCATACATGTGTCAACAGCAGGACTACGATATATGCATCGACCAGAAGTCTACGTACTCTGTCCATAGATTGACGGTGTATTGAGTGACTTTTTTCATTTTTCTTCACCGTCATGTCCATTTCGCTCATAAATGTCGAAAATGAGGAACGCGTGGACGACGTGCTTGTGATGAGTCTCGCAGGGAAAGCTGCGCCGACACAGGAGGAGCACAGCATTATCACTGACCACCGCGGTAAGCCCACCGGCAGCTATCAATCGCTGTACAGCAATAATGAACAGAGACGGCTGGACAGAGACTCAACGAGAGTGTCGATTGACAGCGTGGGACGAGGAACGGTGGCGGGCGCTACGGTTACGTGCCACAACGTCGGTTACACGGTGAAGATCAGCTCTAATCGTCTAGTTCCACGCAAAAGAAAAGAGAAGGTGGTACTGAAAGATATCTGGTAGGTTTAAATCGCAATTTGTTTCAAGCAGGGTACGTATTGCAAAAATCGCCCTTTTCTGTGTCATACGGTGGGTCCGACAATGAGCCGACTTGTGCCGGACGTACTGATTTTGTGCCGTTGTTGCCATTTTAATAAACGATGAGTGTCAAGCTCCCCAGGGGTGGGGTGGGGGAGGGGGCACTCGTCTCGGAACTGAGTAGGGGGGTGCCTCCGGGACCTTGAAAACCTGACCCTGTTGCAAACCGCTTTGCGCCCTAAAATACACCCTGTCCCAATATACGTACTGCACTAAAAAGTATACCCTGTTGCAATATTGCACATTTTGGTTATGTCCTTTCCTGTCAATATAAGCCGATATTGGACCAATATCTGCCTATATTGAACAAATATCTGCCTATATTGGTCCAATATTGGCCTGGTGAATCGGTGATATTGGCCCAATATTGTTTTTCCAATATTGGTCCAATATCAGCTTGATGGGTACCCACAAATCTGAGAGGACCAGAGAGGGAGTGTGTATGTGTCTGAGAGAGAGGTGAGAGAGAGAGAGAGAGAGAGAGAGAGAGAGAGAGAGAGAGAGAGAGAGAGAGAGAGAGAGAGAGAGAGAGAGAGAGAGAGAGAGAGAGAGAGAGAGAGAGAGAGAGAGAGAGAGAGAGAGAGAGAGAGAGAGAGAGAGAGAGAGAGAGAGAGAGAGAGAGAGAGAGAGA